GGGAGGGGAGGGAGGGGAGGGAGGGGAGGGAGGGGAAGGAGGGGAGGGAGGGGCCACAATATCCCATTCGTGCAATTAGAGTTTTATGCAGCTTTCTTTCCTTGGGACAACGGAGGTTTCGAACGTTAAGAAGGTGTAGGGACGCTTCCCTTCCGAGACGTACACACCAAAACGCTTGGGCCAAACACATGCACATACGCACGTACATATGTACATATATGAACACGGCCCTTCGTTCTGTGTGGTGTATTAATAGTTATTTGTTTCGTGGTGTCCCACCCCGGACCGTTCCCACGCCGCATCCCTTTCCCCCTCACCCACACACCCACGAACCCCCCCTTGCCCCTCCCCCTTTTTGTAGTTCTTGGTAGTTATCAACTTGTGCGCTTCTCTTATGGTCCTTCTGGCCACCTACTACGGTGACCAGGGCCTGGACACCTGGTTTGGCGGCATGAAGTGGGTGGACTTCGAGTCCGTGTCTCCTTCGGTGTTGTGGGTGCACTCGGCGTACTGGGTCATCACCGTGGTAGGTAGCGCTGCGGGGTGAGAAGGTCATGTGACGTGGCGTGACGGTGCTGGGGGGAGGGGAGGGGAGAGATGGGGAGGGGAGGGGAGGAATAAAGGCATCGGGAAACCCTGGCAGGACGATCCTCCGAACGTAGACATCGACGACGGCCAAATCTCTTGAGGACCTTCCTCCTCGCCGTCCTGCCGTCTTGCCTACCTTTACATACCTCAACATGTGCGTACTACCGCTGCCGCAGTCCCACCACGGCCTCGCTCCCGTCCCACAGTTGACCACCACAGGCCAAGGCCAGGCCCCACGCCGGCTGGGGGAGCAGATCTTGTCAAACTTCTGTTCCGTGTATGGCATGGTGTTCAACGGTTTGGTGGTCGGAATCGTCGGTGAGGCGCTGATGCGGGTGAGGTAGTGGGATATGGTTGGTCGTTGGGATGGGGCGGGTAGAGGGGTGTGACAGTTGTGGTTGGTGTGTTGGGTCGGCGGTTCGCCGAGCGCTGGCTCCTTCTGGCCTTCTGTGTAGCGCTGGTTGTGGTGCAGTCGTTGTGAAGTGGTGTTGATGTCGACTGAGAGAGCAGGAGAATCAGCAGGTGTGCATATCATCAGATCTTGTTGGGTGTTTACTCTGACGGGGTTATGTGCGAAGGCTGATGGATTTGTTGTTGGAGGGAGTTTGTTGGTGTCTGTTTCTTGAAGGTCTGCAGTCTGGTCTCGGTTGTCTTCGTCCCCTTAACCCCAGGCTCTCACCAACACCTCACCAACACATCATCACGGCTCAACAGTCTGCGTCTGTTTTCCCGTCGGTTAGCCCCTCCTCTCACACCGCCTACTCCCCCTCCTCCTCATGCTCCTCCCCTTCCTCCCCCTCGTCCTTATGCCCCTCTTCCAGCTCCTCTTCCAGCTCCTCATCCAGCTCCTCATCCAGCTCCTCACCCTGCTCCTGTCCCTCTGTAGTTTGTAAATCATCCTATTTGTTTATTTCCCCACCCCCCGACCTCCTCCGGGTCCCTTGGTCGCCCCGGAATAACTTCACCGCTCCCTTCTGCTCCCCTTCCCCCTTGCGCTCCTGCTGCTGCTCCCCACCCCCTCAGGCCAGCGGTGATGCTTCCGCCTTACTTCTCTCCAAACGTGACGTTGCTCGAGCCACCTCCTGGGCCGCCATGCGACATCTGAACCCCAAGCTCACCAAGGAGCTGCAGGTCGGAACGGCGGGAGAGAAGGGCCCGGGAGGAGGGGAGGAGGGGAGGGGCCGCGGCTTAGGCGGAAAACATCACAAGACACAAACAGGGCTCGCATGGAAGAAATTACGCTGCGCACCGCTTGCGCGCAGGTGTTCTTCGCGGACCCTGATTTGGCGCATCGAGACATGAACAAGGAGGCGGGTTACATCCTTGCGCTGCCCACCTCACTTCGTCGCGAGGTGCTGCAGCACATCATGAAGGATCTCCTACAGCGGGTATGTGCGTGTGGGTAGACGCCAGGGCTGAGGAGGGTGAAGACGAACCGCTGACGATTGAAGCTGAGGGGATTGAGGGGGTGAGGGTAACGGAAAGGGAGGAGGAGGGGGAGAAGTTCCGTGCGCAGATGCGTGTATACATCCGCAGGTTGTCCCAGCGGTGAAGTCTCCAAGTCGCTGCAGCAATCTGGATTTTAGTCTGGAGGCCTCGGAGAGCATTCACTGTCCAGATGGTGCTGGTGTTAGCTGGTTCGTTCCAGGTGAACCCAGAGGGCCACGGCGGCGGCTGGCGGCGCAGACGGTGTGCCGGCTGCAGTGTCGCCAGCATCAGCATGTGGCTCGCCCGGCGTGGGATCCTGCAGGGTTTGGGGATGGGCGTGGGAAGGCGGGTGATGAAAAGGACTAGCATAGTACATGCTGCTGTAGGGCCTGCTGCTGTGTGGAATAACAAAGATATTTGTAAAAATAGAAACACACGCATGGGGTTCGCACTGCGTATTGCATTGAATGTTGCACACCAGCAAACCACAAACTTCCCATGCGATTTGTTATGTGTCGCCTCCTCCTCTTTATTCCACCATTGATTTGCATGCTACCGATGAAAGAGGGTCTCTGGTTTTGTGCGGTGCGTTGCTTACGCCACTCTTCCTGCTCCCCCTGTTTTGCTGCTTTTAATGGAACTCACTGCGATGGGGTGACATGTTATCGTCTGCGCATCCCGCCAAACCGCAGGTTCACATCTTCAACACCACCTCCAGGGAACCCGAGCTACAAGATCTTTTGGCGTCCATGTTCCGTCCCGTGGACGTTCCACGTGGTGAGAGGGGGAGGAGGGAAGCGGTTTGCATGGGGGGGCCCCTCAGGTAGGGAGAGGGAAGGAAGTAGGAAGGGAACGCGGGATGGGAGGGATAAGAAATGAAAACGGCAGAGCAGGGAAAGAGGGGCGGGGAGGGCCGCTAGGGGGCTTGCAAGACGGCTGGCTGGATGGGAGTGTGTATTGAATTGCCATACGCCCACCCATCCATCGCCATGTGATGAGTGGTAGATCCAAACACGAACTGGAGTTGTACGGTGAACGACAGAGGAGACCATTCCGGCAGCACCTTCCCTTCTTAATCCTCCTACTCCCTTACCTCTCAAGAACGCCCTCGCTTTGCCAACTCCTTGCAATTCCCCACTCAATCCGACCCCAAACACGATTTCCTTACCTCACGACGCCTGATATGAAACTTTTAAGTTGCCACCGCACCACATTCGCCCCCATCCGGCTCTCAATCGTGTGTGGTTCGTCTTTCCCCCATCCGGCTCTCCGGACGGCCGGTCCCCCCCCCCCCAAACCTTAACCCCGCACGAGCAGGCCACGATCTGTGCCGTCAGGGCACACCCGCCGACCGGTTGTGGGTGTTGGAGTGGGGCAACGTGGTGGCTCAGCGCCAGAACGAGGTAGACGAGCACCCCACTACCGGCATGAGCTGCCTCCTCGGTGAGACGGTGCTGCTGAAGGGGGTGGTGGAGGCGGCGGGGGTGCGGCCATGGACGCTGCAGACCACCAGCGCGTGCCGGTTGTGGGAGCTCCATTTGGCGGACATTGAGAGGCTGTTGTGGGTGGAGCCTTCGCTGGTGACGAAGGTGCTGCAGGTATTGCGGAAAAGGGGGAAGAGGAACAGAGGGAGGTGGGTTTCAGGTTTTAAGGGGTCAAGGAATTTTTAGGGGCTCTTTACGGAGTTTCAGCATGGGAAATTGCGATGGGGATAAGGTTTGGGTGTGGCGGGGAATGGTAGAGGATAGACCGCGGATGATGTGTTTGTGAGATTCGTGCCGGTGGGTTTTCCCCTCCGCCTCCCTCGTTCCTGGTTTCGCCGCCTATGTACGTAAGTCCAACTGGCGTTCCTGCAGTACAGCCGCAGTGCCCACTTAACCAGTGCGCCGTGTGGCACCACTAACAACAGCAGCACCACCAACACCAACAGCAGGGCTTTACACCCATCGTCTCTTTTCCGCCTCGTCCACCCCTCCACCACCACCATCACCACCCTGCACAGCAAGCTCCCTCCTTTCGCTGGCCTCTATTATGAGCGCCCTAACACCAGCCCTGATATCCCGCGTCGTCGCACCACTATCCCCTCTCCTCTTTCCCCCCCCTTTCCTCCTCCTCCTCCTCCTTCCCCCCCGCAGTACGTCAAGGAGCGGCTGATTGACAAGCTGGTTGGTGTACCCGAACGAGACCGCTCCTGGTGCGAGCTGGTGACGGTGCTGAACCGCATCCTCAAACAGCCCGCCATGCTGGACTGTGCGGCGGATAACCTGGAGGCATTGGTGCAGGTGGAGGGAAGAGGGGAAAAGGGCATGGACGGGGGGTTGGTGGACGGACGGGAATTTGGAGGGAAAAAAGCAAAAAGCAGCAAACCCGGCCATCGTTGAAAACCAGGTATCTGTTGGATAACAGGCTGGGAAAAAGGAAGGATTGGACGTGTGCGTATGTGTGTGTGTATATGTGCGTTGTGTGGAGTAAGGTGCTTTATTCGGCGGTGCATTTTGTTACCCCTCACTACATTCCTTCCCTCGCTCCTAGTCCGTTTACTCGGCAACTCCCTCTCCCCCCTTCTTCCCCCCGCCTGTGGGGGTCTCCCCCTTTCCAGGCGCGCCCGGACGACAGCTCCCTGCCACTGCTGCTGTCCTCCTGGCTTGAGGCGGTTATTGCCAACCCCCTGTACACCGAACTGTCGAGGGAGCCTGCGACAAGGAAGAGGGGACTCGTGACGATGGTATGTGGACCACCTGCAGTGCCACGTCCTCTTGCATGCGTCTGTCTGTCTGTCTGCATATCTGTCTCTGTTTGTCTGTCTGTTTGTCTGTCTGTCTATCTGTCTGCATATCTGTCTCTGTTTGTCTGTCTGTTTGTCTGTCCGCCACCAAATTACATCAGTGTGGCAATTGTTAAGGCGCCCGGCTGGTTTTCCGCGGCGGCGATCTCACCCTCACGACCACCGCCTTCCACTGGTGTGTGCCCCTGGTGTGTTGCTGGATGGCTGCTGTGGCGGATGACGTTGGTGCGGGTTTCAGTGCTTTTTTATACATCACCATCACCAACCACACCATCAGCAGGAACGTGGTACGCACAATGCGTCTCCCAAGTAAATGTACCCGCGCCAACATGCTCCGCTGCAATTACCCAAGGCATTTTTTCCTGGCTTTCCCAGTCTGTCATACAGGCCTTGCAGCCGGACGGCATGGTGGGGGCCGCGGCGGCTGTTGGTCCATACGGCTCAGCGGCCCAGCACCCCCTGGGGGCGCCATCGCTGGCGATCTTGTCGCGGTACGGCACCATGCGTGGCGGCGCCGGCGCCGGCAGCGTTGCAGGCAGCGGTGGAGGCGGCAGCGTGACTGCACGCGGACTGCTTAGCGGTGATGGCAGCGGCGTGCCGGGGTCGCCGCTCGCGGTCGTACCCGCCGCATCGCCGGCGACGCTGGCACTTCAGCCCAGCAGCGGCGGCGGCGCTGACGACGATTGTGTTGCAGACGCCGCGATTCGCTCGTCCGCGGGCAACGGTGAACTGCCGCAGGGATCGCTCCCAGGTCCCGGTGCCCTTGGTGGCGGCAGTAGTGGCGAGGCAGAGCCTGGCAGGCGTGCCGTACGGGGCATGCCATGCATTGCGAGGCGGTCGCGGTCGGGCACCCGACTGCCTCTCTCGGACGGCGGCGGCGGCAACGGGGATGGCATCGAAGGTGACGGTGTAACAGCGGCGGCGGCGGTTAGGGGGATGCGTACGGAGGCACAGTCACAGCCGCAGTTGATGACGCCGGGGCTTGGCGGGAGTTCAAGTGGAGGCGGAGGGTTGGCTGCTGGTCGCCCGGCGCCCTCGCTGTCGCGCTTCGCCGCGGCGGCGTTGACGGCCAGACGGGCCCCTTGGGTGGAGACAGCGGCGGCGGCAGCGGCTGTAAATCTACGCAGCCGGCGTGCCACCCGCCGGGCGTCCATGTCCGATAACGGAGTGGTCGCGTTCGGCGGCCGTGACGCCACCTGTGACCGCGATGACGAAGACGACGAAGACGGCGGCGGCGGCGGCAGCGGCGGCGGCGCTGCTGGAGCCGAAGACTATATCGAAGACTGTGACGCGAGCGATGTAAATGACGACACGTGCGAAGACACAGAAGCCGTTGTGGATGGGCGGAGTGCCTCGGTCATTGCGCACACGCAGATGGCATATTCGGTGGTGGATGCAGGCGGGGTGCCGATCGCTTTGGGACCCCATACCGCCCATCAACGGCAACACCTCGTCCAACAACTACGGCGCCACCATCACCACCACCACCATCACCACCACCATCACCACCAGCAGCAGCAGCAGCAGCAGCAACAGCAGCAGCAACAGCAACAGCATCAGCAACAGCAGCAACAGCAGCAACAGCAACAACAGCAACAACAGCAACAGTATTATCGTCAGCAGCCGCAGCTGCAGCCGCTGGGGAGCAGGCCGCTGCTCGAGCAGCTGTCGGAGTGTTCGCTAATGCCTGGGCTGCGCTCCGCACCGTCGTCGCCGTCACCGCTGCCGCCATCGCCGTCTCTGGTGGTGTCGGCATGGCTGCGTTCGGAGTTCTCCGCCCTGCCATCAGGGGCGTCAGGAGGGCTCGGACCTAGATCCCCCAGTCCGCAGCGCTCGCCAGGCGCCGCTGCCGTTAACGGCACCGCCGGTAGCAGGGTTGGCAGCCCACGGGTATGTCCCTTCAGCGATTCCGACAGCCCCAGAGTTGGCGCTGCTGCCGATGCTGACGGCAGCAGTGACGGCGGCGGCTCTTTCCTTAACGCTACCGGCGCGGCACGGCAACCTAGGCTATCATCTCTGGCTCGGGCTCGATCCGCCCATACGCTTCCGCTGGTACCTGAGGAGGAAGGCTTAATGCGCAGCAGCTCAGACGGCGGTGGCAGCGGCGCCGGCGGGGTTACGGGCGTGCCGCGGCAGGCCGCTGCCACCGCCGACGCCTTCGCTGGTAAGGCCGCGGGTCCGGCGGCATGGCCTGCTGCGCTGGACGGTGGGCGCACATCCGCCCCCGTCGTGTCCAATACCTCGATCCAGCGTGCCTCCACGGCTTCGGGCTTCCGCCGGGGTGGCAGCAGCGGTGGCATGGCTGCTGCGGCTGTTTCCAGCGCTGCAGCGGTGCTGGCACGGCATCACGGTGTGTCGCGGTCGCGCAGTACTTCGTGGCTTGCATCTGGGACTACAACGACTGCGGTGGCTGCGGCGCCCACCCTCCCGCGGGTGCGTGAGGAGGGTACCGCCACTGGCAGCGGCGACTGCTACGACGCCGATGCGAGGAGCATGTTTGAGCTGCCTGCCGCTGACACCGCGGGTTCCGTCAGCTCCGCGGTTGAGCCCGGGCTGCTGCCGCCGCCGCCGGCGGCGGAGTTGCAACAGCGGCTTTCAGGTGGAGCGATTTCCGACGCAGTAGCGAACGGGGCACTACTGCCGCGGCCGCCGGTGGCGGCGGCATCCCAGCAGGCTGGGGCAGCTGCAGTGCGGGGTGAGGGCAGCGGCGGCGGCGTGGTTTCCGACCGCTTGCCGCAGCTGGTCCCGCTGCCGGATCGCGTCTACAAGCTGCGAGTCCGGACCAGCGGGGCATCGGGTGGGTCAACGTCCTTTGGAACTGCCGACGTCGCGTCGTCTATCACCTCAAGCCTGGCCTGGCCGCATTCACCGTCGGCCGCGGTGTCAGGGGCTGGCGCCGCCGCCGTCGGGGGCCGTGGTAACGGCCCCTGCCATGCAGCAGCAACTCTTTGCACCACGTGTGGCAAGTGTACTTGTGCTGCATGCAGGTCGCGGGCGATGGCGACGGCAATGGCATTTGACCAGGGCACGGTGGCGGCGGGCCGTGTGCCATCGCTGCCATATTCGACCCTGCGTCTTTGGGGCTTGGGTCCTTCGACGCGAGTCGCAGGAGCAGCTGATCAAGCAGGCGCCACTGCTGCAGTTGGAGGCCCCGCGGCGGTTAGGATGCCGGGGGCCGCGATATCGACTTGGGCGCGCGGCGCTGGCGGCGCTGGCGGCGCTGGCGGCGGCGTCGGCGTCGGCGTCGGCGGTGCCGGCATTGGGGTCTCACGGGGCCCAGAGACCTGGCGGAGGCGACGGCCGTCGAGTCTTACGGACCTTAGCATGTCGTCCGTGCCGTTGGTGCCGTAGTAAAATGTCTTACCAATGCTGTTGAAACCACTATGGCGAGCCGTGATTCGGCGAATGCTGAATAGTTTTTTCTCCGCGCTCTTCTTCCTCTTCCGTTCTTCTTCTTCTTCCTTTTCTTCTTCCTCTTCCTGGCCCCCTACTGCCCGGGACTGGCAATGTCCCCTTCTGATGCGTGCGTGGCAGCCACGCACAGCGCGTTGCTCCTCTGGGTTTCGTATTGGGTTGCATTCGCGTTTCCTCGTTGTAACACGAGCAGCATTTTCACTGGATGTTGTTGTTCTTATCGTTCTTCTTGTTCTTTTTTCTTTGTGTATTTATTTTTTTGTCGTCTTCGAAAATCTTCGTATCTTGGCACTGCTGCATTGGGACGCGGATCCCATAACTAACTAATCAGGAAGACAGAGCTTATGTCCGTCCGTCCGTCTGTCCGTCTGTCTGTCTGTCTGTCTTTCTGTCTGTCTGTCCATAAGGAACGTGATAAAGACCCTGTGTCTCGGGGGAAGCGGCGCGCCTGTCAGCAAACTTAAGTGTATTGTTTGTAGCGCGGTCTCCATATGCGGCGCGGAAACAGAAAGGCAGAACGAACGAACGAGCGAACGAATGTCTCAACCATGAGGTCGCCTCGTGTGAGCTGTCACGTGTTCAGTTCACACGTATCGGGGGTCAGGGAGATGTTTTGGGCAGTGCGTGAGTACCGCCTCTTGAGATTGACTCTCAACGCGATTCAAGGGCAAGGGCACATCTCACCTACTGGTTCATTATTCCCTGTAATAATGGCTTTATTAGCAGGCGTGAAGGAGGCGGCAGGGATGCAATGCTTCACACCACGTCCGCCATCCTCATCGTCATTTCAAAACGGATCATGTTTCAACCATCAACATGTAAAGGGAGGGATCTTGTCGGTAGCGTCGGCAGCTCTGGAGCCGTAGGATGCGTGCGTCTGTGTCTGTGTATGTATTTGTGTGTGTGTGTGTGTGTGAATGCGTGGAGAGGTTACAAGTATCTGACCGGGCCTGACACTGGCCACAGGAGCTGCTGCCCAGCCCCAACGGAAAGATCGCCTACGCTCTCTCCCTGAGCGGACATGTGTGTGTGCGTATGCGCGGCAACATCTGGGGCTTGAGGGAAGAGCAGTTCAAGGGCACCATAGAGGGCAGAGATATAGTTCCATATGAACGTGGAATGGCAGGTGGTTGGACAGTTTAAAGTCGCTTGCACTATCGCACACCGTTGCCAAAGAAGTCTCTCTTGCATGGGCGGAGGGCAGATCGCATTTCGTCTTTTTTGTTGTAAAAGCGACACGGAGTGCACACACGTGTACACACGAATACATTTGCACGTGTGTCATTATGCACATTATGCATTTGCACGTGTGTCATTGTAGGGCGGGGTTGCTATTACGAGTTAGGTGGTTGATGATTTTCATGAACGACTGATACTGATGTGGTGGAGGGGGCGATGCTGTTGCTCTACTGGATGAGTAGATGTTTGAGCGATGCTCCTGGTTCACCCACCGGACTGGGCTAAACCAGTAGGGGCTCTTCTTTTAGGTGGAGAACCTCCACGATAGGGGTGATGTATATACACCCTTCCGACTACACGCGCCAACGTCTGATAACCTTTCCCACGAAGACCAACCGTGGAGTGCGCTGTGATTTACCACCTTTGCACCCGTGCTGTCTTGTGCGGACTGTTCGTGATTGTTTCGTAGAGCGTTTCTATTCCTAGGTAGGCAGGTGGGTAGCTAGGTGGGTAGCTAGGTGGGTAGGTGAGCCATGTATGCGTGTTGTGGATGTGAGGGCTGTAGGGAAGGTCTACTACGGCCTCATCACTATTCTTTGGACGACGCGCACACCTCTGGGCGGCACATGTACTTCGAAGTTGTTGGCAGGGCAGTTGCTGCCACCGGAATATGATGACCACCCTGGCGCCAGGTAGATAAGGTATGTATAAGGTGTGTGTATCAATCCTCGAATGGGTCGTGCACGGGAACCACCACAACCCTGCTGCTGCAAAGGTTTTTATTGCAACCCAAAGTCAGACCGGCCGGCCGGAGATACCCTACCTCTGCCTGATGCATATTGGCCCTTATTGACTCTTTTGCACTACTAGACGCTTTAGGAAACAAACCCCTTAACAGAATTAGAGGTTAAATTGATGAACGATGATTGGCAAAGTTCTAGGAAACCTTCATATTTTCCGTCTTACATGATGTGCCTATGATGGCACATCGCCACACGGCGCGTTGGTAGGGAGCCGCGCTTGCATGCGCGTAACATCAGCTACCTAGGAGGAGCATCTCGAACAAACAACAACCGGAGGTGCTAATCCTTAGCCCGCCACAATCTTTTCCACAGCCGGATAGGCGGAATGGGTTGTAATTACCAAGCTGTTATTACCATGTAACATACAACGCGACTACCGGCAGGTGGGCTACCCGCAACGCCAAACCCACAGCATTATATCTCCGTACCGGTTGTGATGTGATGTGATGTGATGTGATGTGTGCTACATGGCCATGGTGCGGGCATGTTGACCGCAATGCTACTGGTAAGAACTTGGCAGTGCACCAACATGGTGCAACGACTGGTGGGGGGGTGAAGGATAGATTAATTGTTTGCCAACGTTGCGCAGGTTATTATATATGTTGTACGCAACCACAGCCGATTTTCTGTTCCGTATCGAAAGAATTTAAATGTACTTAGGGGTCCGCACTGCGGCAGCACACGATGCGGTGGTTACTGCTTGCGGCAACAGAAACTAATGCACAGGCACAGGCACACAAAGAAAGCTAGGTTCAGCGGTGGTCCTAAAGAGCTGCAACCGCCATCGCCCATAACTTATAAAACACGAAGCCGTAACGGGCTCTGTTGACCGTTCTGCTGGAGGGGTTTTTACACCTCATGTCCCACCAAAGCCTGGTTTAATCCAACACAAACACATACATGCACATGACGGCTGCAACCAAAGAATAATATCCTTTCTAGGGTGACGACGCCCTCCCTCCGCAGGGGGGAAGGGAGGGAGATAGAGAGGAAGGGGGGAGGGAGGCGCTCCCCCGAAAATTATTATATGCCCACGAAAAAAATCGACAGGAAACAGGCAATACGAGCAGCACGAAATAGCCCGGCAACTCCATCCACCATTTCAAACATCACAGATATACGACATGTACCGCTCACGAGGCGCGGGCGCGTGTAGTTCACAGGTGCACATTAAACAGCAGCACCTCGTTAGCTCAATCTATGCCACTGGCAAGCGCGTGTGCTTGGTCACTCATTACAGCTCGTACGACACCTTGAACGCGGATACGGTCATTGTCGTACCCTGACCGAAGAGCCGCAGGGACAGGTCACCCGTGACGGATGCGTTCCGTCTGGGGTCTGCCTGCCAGGATCGCGGCAGGACGTAGACCTCCCTTGAGGAGGTGGGGGCGGTGGGGTTGAGGTTGAGCAGGCCGGAGGTAGCCAGGGGAGAGGAAGGAGGGGCGTTGTGGTCGGCGGCGTCGAGCAGCGTGAAGCATCCGAAACCTGGCGGCGGACAGAGCAGGGGGCGTGGGAGTGTGTGTGTGTGTGTATGTGTGTGTGTGTGTGTGTTGGCCCTCATGGCGCGTTCAGAGGCGGTGGAGGAAGGCGGGCTTCACATCTACACTCCATCTGGACTGGTGAAGCCGTACGGCGGGTTTGATTTATGGCACAGGCTGTTGCATTGTTGGCCATTGGGGTTCAGCAGGCGGGTCCTCCGGGGGGGGGGTCGCAGGTGGGCCCCCTGTGAGGCCACCAGCAGACCAACATGGGTGCATGGGCGCATGCAGCTGTGTATTGGCCCGTGGTGGTGGTGGTGGTGGTGGTGGCGGCGAAAGGCAAGCCAAAAGCAGTTGGACAGGGAGGTGAGGTGAGGTGAGGTGGGTTTGGTTGCGGGTAGGGGATTGGGGTGGGGGTCGTGCTGTCCCCTCCCCCCCACCGGCGTGGAAGGTGATGTGCGGTCGTTGATGTGTGTGCCGGCCGCTATATGCACCATGGTGCGGCGGGCAATCAACTGTCAAGAACAGGGCCGCTGTTTGTAAAGATATATCAAGAACAGGGCCAACATAAGTATGGAATGTGTCGTACGCCGCATCGTGGTATGTGCCGTACTGATTGTGGGCAAGCCGATTCATGCATGCTGTACATACATACATACACACGCACCAGGTTGGAATGCGGCCGGCGTGATGATCTCTTCCACCCCGCCAAGATCCATGAGGGTCCTCATCCCCCTAGCCCGGTTGCCCAGACGAGCGACCTGCAGCATTCGTAGATATGTATGTATGTATGTATGTATGTATGTATGTATGTATGTATGTATGTATGTATGTATGTATGTATGTATGTATGTATGTATGTATGTATGTATGTATGTATGTATGTATGTATGTATGTATGTATGTATGTATGTATGTATGTATGTATGTATGTATGTATGTATGTATGTATGTATGTATGTATGTATGTATGTATGTATGTATGTATGTATGTATGTATGTATGTATGTATGTATGTATGTATGTATGTATGTATGTATGTATGTATGACGTTGATTACACTGTGGGCTGAAAAGCCGGGGGCCCAGGGCCGAAGCACAGCGCGGGGGGCGGGTGCATACGGCTGGTTAGTCTCATGCACTCCGCCCCCGGGTCAGGCCGCACGGGAAACGACGGCCGGCACGCAACAGCGCTTGTTTGGCGCTCCAACTAGACGGGATCTATGCCCGTTGGTCTCCTAACATAAACGAAGTCGCAACTGGGGGGCTCTTCCTGCCGACCGAACGAACCGAGCATCTCAGAGAGCTCGCTACCAGGACTTGGGCGACCGGGAGCCCGACGAGTCTTCCCGGGCTGGGGAGGTCACCAAGCTCAAAAATCCTCACGCAAAAAAGAGCGCAAAGAGCTCACACCACAAGACGCCAAACAGCCTCCTGAGACTACTACCCTCCTCCGCCTCTCCCTCCCTGGGCTAGTC